TTTGTCGGAGAGCGATTAAAGGGGGCTGAGGGAAGCACTGCAACATCTTGTCAGATTTTTCTAAAATGCCTTTGTGCTGGTTGTGAATGTGAACATTGGGCAGCTTTTGGTGGTGAGTGGTGACAAAGAATGGCCTTTTCTGATGAGGTTTGTGGAGTTTGTAGCAAGTAGATCATTGTGCCTGAGCTTTCAAACTTTGTTTAAAATGAATGATGGAGGTTATATTATGAAACTGTTTTGGTATTCACTGCGCAGGTTTTCTCTGAAATCCTTAATTCTAGCTTTAAACCATTCATCCCTGGAACAAATGCGTCGGAGTCGGAGCGCAACACTGTAGACTACCGAACGGAATATATAATATGTTTGGGGTGGCTGGAAAAAGGGGGAAGGTAGCGCTTAGAGTCGGTTAGTTTGAGATGGAGGTCTGTCTCAATGTTGTCATTGAAAAGGAGGATGGAAAGGTGGAGGAAAGCTGTAGACTTTACGGGGTTGGAGTGTGTGAATTTGATGGTGTCATGGACGCTGTTGATGTCCGAAAGAAATTGATGTGTTTGTTGAGAATTACCATCATGCAAGGCGATAATGTCGTCCATGTATCAAATGACCTAAAAGGGTTGGTTGGGAAGGGAGGCGATGTTTTTACGCCAAAATTCTGCCATGAAAATGTTGGCATAGGAAGGAGCTACAGGTGTTCCCATGGCTGTTCCTGTGAGTTGAAGAAAATGTTGGTCGTTGAAGGAGAAATTGTTTAGTGTAAGGACTTGTTCAAAGTTGTTCCAGGAGTTGACAAATTTCTTTATTTGACATTGGGTGTATGTGGTGAGGCTAGAGAGGGCTAAGCAGCAGGCTGAAACTCCTTCTTTGTGTTGTATGTTGTTGTAGCCTACATGTCTACAACCAAAACGTCAATGGTCAAAAGGCTGCTGCCGTCTGTAGTTTGCCTTTTTTCATTCAGTGTTTTAATTTTTTGAAGGACATGTAAGTTGTCCTTGACCCAATGTTTGTCGCAGAAGTCGGGGACGAGGGGTTTGAGAATGCTGTCTAGCCAGTAGGAGGCTCTAGTGGTACGGCCTCTGGTTTGTGAAATTATACCCCTAAAAGGAGGAAGTATAGAGCCATCACCATCATCATCATCATCATAAGCAGGAACAAAAATCTATCACATGTCGCTGGGACCAGGTTGAGCTAGCGAGACTGCGGTCGGACCATCATTGGCGTTTAAGATGGTATAAGCACTTTGTAAATGAAGAGCTCAGCCCATGTTGCCGAAGATGCGGCCTTGAAAAGGAGGATGTCAAACATGTGTTTGAATGTCCAGGAACAATGGCAATTCGAATGGAGTTATTTGGACGAGTGGAGGTGCCGCTAAGCATATTGACAATGGAGCCGAAAAGAGCATCGCTCTCGCTCGAAGATTTCTTCGTGGAGTCCGTCAGGCCCATTCAGGAAACAAAACAAAAAATCATCATCATCATAAAGTGTCAGATCTGCGACAGACATCGGTGATCATGGTTCTCCCTCCTTTCATTCCTTTGCTCGGATGCTCTAAAAAAAAAAGCCACATACCTGATGTATTATTCTGATCTTTTCCTGTCACTCCTCTGTATTACTAGTTTAGGCTCTCGTGCAGGTTGCTCTAGGTCTACTCCGGCCTCTTTTGCCCTCAGTTTGGGTGAAGAAATTGAGGCTTATGTTGCTACAATCCAGATGTCATGGGATGCCACGGATAGCAAACTTGACAGTCTCAACAGGATCCAGCGATCAGTGCTGCGATATAGTACACCAGAAGCGGTTGGCCGAAATTCATACAAAACGTCAAGTCCGAAGCTTGCGACCTCTACGCAGTTTCCAGTGAACTGAGCGAAGTCCATGGACTACTCGTCAGAGGTAACCGCATCGTAATCCCCATGGCAATGTGAGGAGAGATGCTCAGCAGGATCCACGACGGTCACCTCGGAGTGTCGAAGTGTCGCGAACGGGCCAAATCTTCCATTTGGTGGCCTGGTCTCAGCTCCGAGATATGGGAAGTTGTCTCAAGATGCGATCATTGCCAATGGAAACACCTGACCCCAACAGCTCTACCCGAGCGGCCGTTCCAGATGGTTGGTGCTGACCTCTGCAACTCCAAGGGACATGACTACCTGGTACTCGTGGACTACTTCTCACGGTACTTGGAGGTGGCCTACATGCCAGACACCACCTCTGAGACTGTTGTGTACAAACTGAAAAACATCTTCGCTCGGTTTGGCATTCCAGAACTACTGGTGACTGACAACGGTCCCCAGTTTGTGTCAGACCGTTTCCACAAGTTCGCCAAGGGCTGGGGGTTCAAACACACAACCAGCAGTCCCCATTTTCCCTAAAGCAACGGCGAGTCGGTGAGAGAGCAGTCGAGGAGGCGAAGCCCTGAGCCAGAACGACCTATTTCTCGCCCTCCTGATCTACAGGTCTACACCGGTGTCACCGACGGGGGCGAGCCCAGCGGAAATAGCTCTTGGGTGACGCCTGAGGACGACCCTCCCAATTCTACCGTCAAATCTGAACCGGCAGGTCTACGACAGGGTGAAGATTGCAGCCAGAGACGCTGAGTCGAAGCGTAAGTACAAACAAGCTTTTGACAGACGTCACGGAGCCCAGAACCTCCCGGAGCTGAATCCTGGTCAGCTCGTCCTGCAGAAGCTGGAGAACGACAAGGAGTGGCGTGGCCCTGCGGTTGTCAAAGAACGGTGTGCACCGAGGTCTTACATCATACAGTCTGGGGATAGGGCTTACCGCCGGAACCGCAAACACCTGAAGCCCTACGTCGACCCTCCTTCCGTGCCTTCTTCACCTGTTGCCACCCCAGAGCCTACTCCGATGTCCGTTCCCTTACCTCCGCCACCAGCTGTCCAGCCGGTAGAGCCTGATGTCACACCACCATCACCTCAGCCAGCTGCCGCTCCAGCCAGTCCTGCTCCAATAACTACCCGAAGTGGACGAGTGGTCAGGAGACCCGCTCGTTACCCGGACTGATGTTCTTGCGACCCAGTCGTATCATTTCGATGACAGATTTTACTTTTTTGTTTATTTTTTGCTGATTACCCAACAGTTGTGTAGACCTACCTGTTCGAGGCAATGTATTTTTCTTAGTTTCGTTATCTGGACGCTATGCAGTTCTATGAATGTGACAAAGACAATTTGAAATGCGGTAATTCTGAAGTACCAAAGAACTTTAATGTTTTATCAAGTTCTCAAGTGCAAGCCCCGAATCTCCAAAGACAACTGAACTCTGTGTGTGAATTTTGTTAAAGTGAGAACATTCCCCTTTGGTTATCATCAGAGACTCGAAACCAATACATATAGGGCCTAATCTTTAATCCATTTTCAGGTTTTCCTTTGATATTAAAAGGGAAGATGTCACGGTAGTCACAGTATTGTACATTACTCTTTTCTAATCACGGGACGTAAGCGCCCCGTATGCCATGAGCGTTTGGTTAATGTTACTCACTTCGGGGATCAACATAAAAAGTCAGACACTATACCCGGGCTCATTATTAGAATGCTTGGTGTCGTGTGTGTTCGTCTCTCCAGTTTACAGTCGTGTGAGTTCGCGCTTTTTGTTTGTTTGTCTTGTTTAACAAACCCTTCATATTACATGTATCTCTCTCACCTTTTCCTCTCGCGCAGCTTAGACCTAGAACTACACGTACTAGAAGCCTGCACCTCGTGGGACACAGTAAGTCAGTCTTTCGAATGAATTAATTAAAAAAGAGGGCCATTTTGACGAGCTTGCACCGGCTAGTCCTTTTTCTTCAACCCCCAAACTCTCTAAAGCGACCAATACAACATGATTTTTCTGATTCCGATTCGAACCTGCTCTACC